GAGGGAAGCGTAAAGAGATCCCCAACCCGATTGGCCACGAGTCCGCCGCCGGCCCCCGGCTGGTCAGTGGTGAGCACGCACAGCAGTTCGGACCTCGGAGCAACGGCAGTCTGCTCATTGGGAGAGAACTACTGCGCCATTTTGGAGGAAGGTCACCGGAATAACTGCTTGACCAAACAAAAACTAAAGCAGCACTGGCTTTAAACCGCTACAATCAAAACCTAGAAAATGTCAAATTCAAATCAAAAGTGACGTCACTCATCGAGTCCTGCATAGGTCGTAGGGGGTGCCCCAGTTCACATTGCCGGCAGTGCACTTGGTGCCGCTCCGCCCCGGGCGCGTCCAAGAAGGGCCCGGCCGCCACCACCGCACGGCTCCTTTGTGCCCCAATGTCCCTCCACTCCCTCGTCAATGATGCAGCAGCGGTGGCATTCAGCGCGAGGAGGGGCGGCGCGCGGCCCAACGCAAACATACGCACAGGAACTGCACCGGCCCAACCCGGCAAAAATTAGTCATTATACCGCAAGGAAAAGCGGCGTTATTAATTTTGTTTTGTTGTTGAAATTTTTAATCCTGTGCGGGTAATTTTTGTAAGTGTGGTGCGAGCGTAAATGAGCCGCAAATTGGGCAGCCTCCCCACGACTCGCCATGACCTAATGGCCATGACTGCGTGGAACAGCGGGGGACGGGGAGGGGAGCGCGGTGTGCTTCTGTGAGGGATCACGTCCCTCCCGCTGCGGCTGAAGCGAGTATCAGTCGGCTCTCATAATAATAAGATAAAGAAAGAAAAAAAAGAAGCGGGGATGGAAGACTCTCGCGTTTGCTCTCTCGCTCTTCTTGACGGGAAACCCATTATATTCCCCCCCCCTCCCCCATTTTTCCACCTTCCTCATTCCGCTCCCATTTCTCACCAGATTTTTCAGTCCCCCCCCCCTTCCACTTTTCCTACTTTCGCTCTCCCTGCCTTGTTTGCTTTTAATTTTATATACAGGTGCGTGTTGTCCGATACGACGGCACGCCGTTAATATAAGGCACACAGAGAGAGGAAGAGAAAGAGAGAGAGGGAGAGGAGATAGTCAGGGGATTAAGGGGTAGCACCGCGTTGGAGAGTGAAGCTCAGCCAGCAAGTCGTGGACAGATTGTCTGGAATCTCATCGTAGACATAGTAGAGTGGTCCCAGGTTGGAAAAGCTCTGGATTAATTTTAAAAATTGGTTAAAACCCCGGCCCATGCTCGTCATAAGTCATTTCTTTCTGGTTTCAAGCATATTTCGCAAGTTTTAATTAAACCACACGATCATTTTTCACAATCTACAGTTCTTTGAACTTGCGGAGTAAACAGAACGACACCGTCTTAAATGTTTGTAGGAGGTAAACTTCCCTTTTAAGGGGAGAGTATACTGAAAAATTGATAAATCACCTAATTTAATGAATTAATCAAGTTAAAATCTAAACAAGAGACAAAATCAAAAAAGTACTCT